TCATGCTAAAGATTTGCTGCAGCTTTCAAACCCACAAAATCATAATTTCTCTATCATACAATAGTTGTGGGAATTTTTGCGTTTACGGCGGATGCGACAGTTGCGAACATTGAGCGAGTGGTAATAACTGTGTCTTGAAATCTACCCAAGTGCATATTGCACAGATTTTTTCACTAACTTCAAGTGTTTGAGAATTTTGAATTTATGCAAGGAAAAGGGATGACGGGACGGTAGATGGCATTTGTAAGAATCTGGTCCGTAATTGGGCTTGGGAGAGTCTTTACAGTAATTGAAGTTATCAGCTTGCACTGGGGTGACAACAGAAATGTGGATAATAAAGGGTAGTCATGTGAAATTTTAGTCTCATAATCATAGTCTAAGCAAATAGCCGTCGATGTTTTCTGTTTTAACAGCTATGATTTCTTTTCAAATTTAAGTCAAATCCCGATTTTGAAAGTACAAGCGAGGTGTGAGCAGCGCTCTCGTACTCCACGAAAGTCGTCTTGAATTGGTGGTAGCAAGAGAAATCAGAAATGTCGGGGAAACGATGCCTCCCAGTCGACGAGGAAGGAGTGTATCCATCAAAAGGGCCGATGTGTGAGACGCCGCCGCGAAGCCGCACACTCTCACAAAGTTCACGTGAATCCTGAACAATGTGTGCAAGTACATTTGCGTGGCGAGGCGGACGTGTTGTCAGACAGACTTGGACAGACGGAAAATTGTCTCCTTGGTCCAGAAAATTTTACCCCTCCACTAGTGCATTTCTTTCGCAAATCACCACCTTCACTAGATTTCAACATTTTAGTAAAATAGGTGAGAACGCTTAGTTCCTTATTTAGATTAGAGTTCACTGTAGACACTATCATTCATGCGGAACGGCTTATTGACGTAGCAATTTCAAGTGTAAGCGCATTACGTTGCATTTGTTTTGTCGTGGAGTACGGCTACAGTGTGCTGCTTTCCACACTCCCTCGCTAAAGTAATACATTCTAGAAGTTGAAATACTTCATTTCTGGAAGGTAGTGTCAACAAATGAGGGCGGAGTGAAGAGAGGAACGCTAAGTGGCTTTGCTCTTCTGCTAAACTTTCAAATCACTAGCTATCATTGTGCTTCTGATCGTTTCCTAGACAATATGTCAGGCTTACAAATGCCTACTCAAGCACGTGTAGTCGAATGAGAAGCGTTATTACAATTATTTTTAAAATTTACTCATTTTTTGATTTTTCTATTTGATATCTGTACACGTCCATGCTCACAAGTAGACGAGCATAGCGACAGCACGTAGCTGTTGTCTGTTCTCTAGTCGCGATGTCCGCGCAACCAACGGACCATTTCGGCCAAGCAGGCGATGGCCTTCGTTGAGAGAACTTTCGTGTTCTGAATGTTGTGTCGTGGGTTGTTTTTCTACCTGATTTGTTAACAACAAGACGTCGTTATTTTAAGTAAAAATCAAAGAGTTTTGTATGCGTCGCCATGTTCAGAAAAGTGTCGTCCGCGTGTCCCCGTTTGTGTCTGTTGCCAAAGAAAAAGATGAATCGGTTGATGTGTTGAGATGCAGCCTGATAAGTTGGACTTTGTAGAGCTATGCTGGTTGAATACGTTATTATACGGCTAGCACAGCGATATTAAAAAGTTCGTTCTATTTTTTTGGTTACGGTCTGTGTGTTTGTAGATGTGTGCCTGATGTGTACGTTTACCTCTTCACCAGATATCACAATCTTTTCGATAATTTGATAGCGGTGTGATGGCGCGACGCCCTCGACGCGGTTGCTATACTGCCTGAAATTGGGATAAAAGTGTTGCGTTTTGTGTGGGGTGGCAAGACGGGAAAAGTGCGGCAAAGCAGAGCAGAAGATGATGACCAGGAACACTACAAGAAGAATCAGATGGGGAATGAGGCGACGGCTGTCCGTCGGCGATGGTCAAGCTGTTTAGCAAAGGATCAGGTGAATTGTAAAGAGAACGGATAATTGAAGTGTCGACTCAACTTCGCGTTCCTGTTGTGTTCATTCCTTCACGGTCCATCTCAAACCGACACCTCCTACCCAGAGCTTCAAAATTATAACACCTAAACGCTTCCCTCGTTCACTGCTACCCATCCCTTTTCTTTGAATATCCACTGCACAGACTATTCGACAGAGTAATACCCGTACAATCGCTCGCACGCGGTCTAGCCTTTTAGTTACGTGTATTTCTGTCGAATAGTCTTGTGCCGTGCTAAGAAGCGGGTGTTGAAAGGCTTGCACGTGGTGTGCAGAACGCGTTTGCAGTGCTTTGCGTGTTTTCGTAGTCCAGCTTCTTCATCCGCTTACACCTATAACACCTGGACGAGCGAAGAGACTGCTGAGTAGCTGCTTGCTGACAGTGTTTCGTTAGTCGCTGTCTTTGACCGTGTTAGTGGCGTAAATGGTGCAAGAGACTGAGATTTGCTCAATGGTGGTGAGTTCGCTTCTTTTTATTCTCACTAATCTCTCCTCGGCCAATTCCTACCGTTCACATTCACGTGTATTTCACAAGGAGGTCTTTCAGGACATGGAGCGCTTTTTCGAAATGGTTTTCTGCATGTTGTAGGGGCTCATGCGAGGAACACAGAACCATGATCCATTTTTCCTGAACGCCTCCAGGAATGTCAAAACAGTGGTGAAGAAATGGTCCAGAGTTCGATCCCCGGTGATGACTAATTTTTGCAATATAGTTTGGCGCCCCAGATTGCCGCCAAATGGCGCCATCGTCGAGAATAGATGTCATTGTCGTGTTTTGCGGCAATTTGGAGCGCCAACATAAATTGCAAAAATTTGTCATCACGGAGGATCGAACTTTGGACCATTTCTTCCCCGCTGTTTTGACATTCCTGGGGCGTTCAGGAAAAATGGACCATGGTTCTGTGTTCCTCACATGAGCCTCTACAACATTCAGAAAACCATTTTGAAAAAAGGCTCCATGTCTTGAGACCCCCTCGCCAAGTCTCCCACGGGAAGCGTGTAGTGGTGCACATTTCATTTTTGCTGGTTATTTTTCATTGCACTCGCTTACCACCGCCACTTAGGACCTTTAGTCCATTGGGTGAAGTTCATCTACCAGCTTCGTGCAACTGAAACAAGGAGTGGAGTACGCACTCCACAGCACTACCTGCTTCGCAGACATGGCAGCCCTTCTCTATTCACTGGTGCAAGATGTTGAATCGTTGACATTGTCACAATCGCTACTCCCTCTTGTTCTCCTCCCTTCCTCAGCTTCAATTCTTTTCCAAGAATTCTTTCCATTTCTTCCTAATGTCTAGGCAAATCCTTTCCATACGCATCTCAGTCAAGTGCTTTGCATGCACGTATCGGTTGCTTTCGACTATAATTTCTTTAACGCTTCGAAACGATTATTTAGTTGCTTTTCCGTTGTCTCATAACTGGGCTTTACAAATGGTTTTTTAACACATCTAGGGAAATCATCGACCTTTTGTTCAGTTGAACACATTCGATAATTTTATGGTATGTAAAGCCTTGATAAGAGACAACTCTATCAATTTATTTTCCCAGATTAACTTTCAGAATAGCTTTCGCACGCCTCTTAGTTTTTTACCGAGCACATAACGTAGATCAGTCAGTCCCTTATTTCTTCTTCGCTGAGTTTGAAATGGAATGTGAGGCTATATTCAACTAAGTTGCAAATTCTCCTTTGTAGAACCAACCAAACAGCCATAAACTGGATCCATGGGGACAATTTTCCGTTTTCGTTTGTTTTCGCCTGCAGCGGATTAGTTGTTGGTTGGAAAAGATTGATAATTAGTTGGGCAGGAGCGTTTAGAAAGTTTGGCTTCTACCTAATGTGATTGAATTAACAATTTCATCCAACAATTGCCGCGCGTTCTGCCATTGAAGACGCCTTGCCACCCCATTTAGTGCTTCACGCTTCCCCTGTTCGTCATCGAGTGTGAGCCCGATCATTGTGGTGGCATACCGCCGTGATTGGGTTCGCTGTCGCCGTCGAGACGAGTAGGCGAAGCAAAGCAGAAACACGAGGAAATCGTTTGTGTGTGCGCGCGTCGCAGCTGCTTCCAGATTAGCTTTTTTGTTACCTCGTTCCTTACACGAAGGAAGCTGTCGTTGCCTTGCAATCTTTCGATGTTCTTTTCGAAATTGTCGTTGCTGAAGTTCAATTATTGATTGTTTATGATTAGATATCGGCTGGAGAAGCATTGAATTGTTGAAAGTGTCGATATTGATTGCAGTTTTGGTAGGTTATGCTTATATAGCAATCTGTCCGTACCTCTTGGTGCATACGACTCTTAGTGAGCCAACCGGTAGGCACGGTAAAGTCCTGACTTGCCTCAGGTGAGCACCAATCCAGAAAACTAAAAAACTTCCTCTTTCAAGTTCTTGCTTAGATATTTGGCTTGGCTTAAGCAACAGTCCCAGCAGGGTTTTTACCTTCGACACTAATGGTGTGGAACGATGCGCTAGCCCTAGTCAAGAACATAAGAAGTGTGACTGAACAAAAAACTCACCTTGGAAAGCCGCTAGAAAGGGAGCTGAACGGCTTCGAAGTGGGCGTGGTTGGAAGTCGGCCGAGGGGATTGCAGCCGACTGAGCAACCACGCCCACTTCGAAGCCGTTCAGCTCCCTTTCTAGCGGCTTTCCAAGGTGAGTTTTTGTTCAGTCACACTTCTTATGTTCTTGACTAGGGCTAGCGCATCGTTCCACACCATTAGTGTCGAAGGTAAAAACCCTGCTGGGACTGTTGCTTTAAGCAACAACCCTGCAGAAGTCGTGTCGAAGAATCTATTCTGTGGGTGGGATAGAGTAGCCCACGAGTATCACAGATGTGCCGTTGTCGCGGCTCGAAAGTGCGCGACAATGGCGCTAGGGCCTTACAAAGTGAGCTATGGCGACTAATCTTAACTTATGGACGAGATACCTCGCGCACACCCCATGACACGCAACGTGGATTACGGCGTAGCGGCTAATTCAAATACGCGCGGGTTAGTGGAGCCATGGAGCAAGCAAGTTCGTACAACTCGTCCTGTCCTTATTTCTTGGGGGAAGTGTGGGAATATTTGTTAATGGCTTCATCGTTTTCTTTGTTTCTTTTTTTCATTTTCAGTCACCTTGCGATCCACAACGCCATCATCGACCGCTGTGAAACCACAAACTTCGATCTGGGGGTGTTGCTTTAATGATGACATTTTCTCGTAAAAGGCATTTGCCACCTGAAGTTCTATGAATTCGGTGGAAAAAAAACCAGAATTGCAATTTTGTCAGGAGATTTTTGAATTACGTGAATATTTTGGCCGCTGTAATCAGAGAGGACCTTAATATGTGAATGTTCGCACTTTATTCAAGATAATCACTGGAAATTAAGAATTTAGGAAAGGATTAGTCAAGAATAAGAGGTGGTTCGTTTCGCCTCTTACTCAGAAAAGACGTTATTTTTTCGGAGCTCGCAAAAGTCAAAGTGAAAGTAGAACCTCCATGCCAAGGGTCATCTAGCAAGTAAACTGTTTGCTTTGAAGGGGCAGAAGTGGTACTGAAGAGTCAGCGTTGAAGGGTTCACTCTCGGGAAATTGTATGAGTGAGATTAGGGATTTTTTTATTCCCCAGGAAAGTGGGTAAGTCCACGTGTCGTGGGTACTCCTTTACTGCTCACCTATGAATTTTCTTGTCACAGTATCTTCTGCCCACGAGTTTGTCCTAGTAGGTATTTTGCAGTAAGAAGGTGTATTTAGGGTCAAAAACAAAAAGGGACCTAGCTGAAGGTTCCAAGTGATAGTGCGGTCAAAAAGTGAGGTTGGGTTAGTGAGAAGGAGAGTAGGGTGGTGGAGCATGTCATGGGAGTGATAATTTGTTATGATGTAGTCGTAATTCATTAAATTTGTATTTGAGAGAGCAAGGTCTGAAAAAGTTTCTGTGGCCACAGTGTTGTGCGAATCTTCCGGATTATGTGGGGCATAAGTTTACAAAGTGTTCTCGTTAAGAAAAAAGGAATCGAACGAATGGGGTGACGGTAGCGCATTAGTTAGTGATACGCTTATCCAGACTGTGTCTGCTCTTAAGTTGTTTCTAGTCCCAGGTTTATGTGCCCTGCTAATCTGCAATGAATATCGACACTTAGCGCTGTACATGAAATAATTCCATAGGCA